CAAAAAAGAAAACACACCCATGAACATATAAACGTATCACACACCCACCACATGGTGTTGTATGGATGGTGTCAAATGTAGTACAACTGGAAATTTTAAGAGCAGAAACACTTACAAAATAGTAATGCAAATCTATATCTACACTCAATGAGAGAGGAATTCATTACTTGAAACTAAAAATTTAGGGCATACATATCTTTTCTATGCAATTTGTAAAAAAACCACTATTTTTTCTTTGAGACATAATAACATTGTCACTTTGAAACTGAATCTAACACTTCTTCTTCACCCGAAGAAGCTCTAACACTGAGAAAAACAGACCGTACCAAAAAACTCCCAATTTGACATGAAACTGTTTCCTACATGGCAGAAACGATTAAATGAAAAGCAAATTTGCTCACTGGACATGGAATACTTCACCTCTTAAAAATCAAAAAAACCAAAAATTCTGCACAAACTGAAACATAACTATATCAATATCAAAAAAAAAAACCAAAAAAAAAAACCAGTCTTTAAAATGTTGTGTTTTCTCTCCTTTTGCTCTTCAGGCCAAAACACCCAATTTCACCTAATTTCTGAACTCTACCGTATTAGAGCACACACAGAGAACATTTTAGTCAACCCCCAGAATCTGTTTCCAGGCAMTTCTCCCAGAATTTTGCTGACCACTGTGATGGAAGGGAGAGCTCCTATAGAATGTTAGCCTGATGAGAGTGGTATTTTTGTGTTTAGTTATCTTTACTGTTCTCTTTCTTCTCTATCACAACAGGAAAATRCTGCACAAAATGACAAATTTTGATGTTGATTATTGATATATCACAAATATCTATATAAAAAAATCTTACATGTAAAAAAAATACTGATCATACATTATAATGAAGRGCAATATTAGATTCACACAACATGTTTTTGTGCAACTGACATTTTTTAATAAAATCCTTGGGTATGCAACTGAAGCATGCCAGCTTTCACCTGAGGAATCGGCAGCTTTTCAGTGAAATTGTGTTAGATAAAGCAACAACTACTGCAAAGGCAAGCACAGTGCAGGATATTATGGAGTTTGTATGGATGCTTGTAAGAAGCATCAGGTTCCAGCATGGTGGAGTACAAGACACGAACTTATTTAAAATTCAGGTGGATCACTGCAGGCTGCAATCCCTAGCTTTTTGGAATTCTGGAATCACACGTTTCAAGACAAAGTAAGAGACACAACAAAATGCCTTTTTCTACATTCAGGATGCAGTGCATTCTAAGATGCATGAAGGGAATATGTTTACTCACATTTCTGCATTAGCAAATATTAGAATGAAATTACTCTRCTATTACAAACCACAATTCCCAGAGAAGGAAGCTGCAGTGTTACACTGTGTCACTCACCACCTATTTTGAAAACAACCTGAATYTGGCACTGCCAATGGGTGCAAATGCTCACTGCACACTGTGGTTCCTACCTGTTGCCCTCGTGCCAAGCATTCTCCTGTCATAGATCCTCACGGAGCTGTCAGAACATCCTACAGCCAAGTAGTAGGGGATGGGGGGACAAATAGCAACAGAAGTGGCAGCACGACGACAGTTTATCAAAATATCCTGGAACACAAAAAATGCAGCATTGAAATTRCAGCYCTGAAYATTTGAAGTATAATTCYTTTTGGTTTTGTTTTGTTTACTTCAGGGGACAGGCAYCTCCCTTAGCCAAGGAGATTTTGAGAAAATAGTTCTGGCCCTGTGAAGATAGATCACAAAATGTGTTATCAGAAACACCACTGCACAGAAGGAAAACTATAAGAGAAAGAAAACTGTTAGCAGAACAGCTAAAAAAGAAACCAAACCAAAATAAAAACACAGGAACAAACRTTTAAGAATAGGTCAGCTAAAAATTCGTATTTATAAACTACCTTACACCTTGGATTTTCTTATGGAAACACAGTAACTGTGGAGGCAGAAGAACACTAAATATGCAGAAACAGTACAAATACATTGAAAGATCAGAATAGATTACATCTACAGGCAGATAACTGCATAGAGGGAGAAAAAATGAATGAAACCCCTAGAACTGGTAAATATACATGAAACTGAACAAAATTAATCAAGACTAGCAAKACATACTTCAGTAGTTTTTCTCCAATTCATTATCAACATTGTTTCTAAAATCCAAATAAAACGGAAACCACCAGTACCTTACCTTCTGGGGAGTGATACCAGTGACCTAATATAATTCATTACTAAATTTTTGCTTAGAGAGCAACAAAGGATGCTCAAGAACACAAAGCTGCAGATGATTCTCAAGGCTCATTTTTAGCCTCCAGTTCTGCACTCTACAATTAGTATAAACCAGACCAAAAGACTCAATTTCAACAAATACAGTCTTTTCTACCATATCTGAAGCCTCGCACCAAAGTTTATAAAATAAAAAATGCCAAAGGAGATATTAAAATTTAAAAAAAAAATAAAAAAAGACTCCTTAACTTTTATTGTTCCTTGGGAAACATACTGTCATCTCCAGCAATGACCCTGAAATCTATTATTTCTAAAAGCTTTACCAGAACTCATATCCTATGTTTGTGTGATGCACAGTTCTACATTCAGGACATGTTTATTAAAAGATTATTATTAAAGTCATCTTTATTAAAAGATTGCATTCTTACATCTTTACAATCTTCCTTGGTGCAGCTTGTTTTGATGCGAGTATCAAACCATCTGACGGTGCCGTCCTCACCACAAGAGAGGAAAGTGTACGGATCATTTGGTACTGTCATAATCTGCTCAAAAGACAGAAAGAACAAATGAGATTAMCATACCCACAGAAAGAGCACTAATTTAAAAATAAAAACATCAGTATTTTGAGCAGCACTAAGGCAATTCCACCTCAAGTCAAGCTTTCCAGTGAAGTAGCRAGGAAAATTGAAAAATTGATGATGTTTCTTCATTTTCAAAAATAGGTTTGAACTACCAAATCAAAGGAAACTTTTAAATGTCACTTAAGATTAAATATCTATAGGTCAAAGCTTACAGTTACTTCCATTATCTTTTAATGCACAAYATACATTTACTGCAATCACTTTTTAGATAACTTATCAGTTGGATTTAACTYAACAAAAGCTCAGTTTATTCTCTACTGAGTAAYAGAAGACAATCACAAAGTCCTCAGAAGTCTAAAAGCCTTGAAAATACTAAATGACTTTTATTCCCATTGGGCTAKTCCTTTACATTCTAAGTAGTTCCCTGCAGCAAGTCTGCATTAAAGGCTCTTACCAACCCACCTCCTCACTGCAATTTTTTTTTAAAATACACTTYTTTTAAGCACATCAATACAGATAGGAAAATGGTTCAATACAGTGCTAAGCTCAACCTTTCTCCAACTAGGGATGACTCTGAGAGAGTCTCACATGAATGGCTTCACTCAAGGCCTCCTTATGACAAAATAAAAAGGGAAGTGACCTGTTAAATATGACCTGTATTCCACAGGTCAATAAATGCACAGGAAATGCCAGGTTTTTTATACTCTGTCTCTTAAAACAGAAAACAGAGAATGTTGTGGCAGATTTTTCTTTTCCTACACTACAGCTCCTATCAATAAAAATTTAAAAAGTAACAAAAMCAGTTAATAGTCTAATACATTAATTGAACAAAGAGCACAAGTGATTCTTTAACATTTTTAATGTGATGATTTATCCCCCGTACTTCCCAAAACTCTTAGTTAAAGTAACCCACCTGCAAATCTCTCTATCTGAAGTGGGCTTATAAAGGTAACAGCGGAAGGGTTCAGCCTTTCTTGCAATGCTCAGTACAATAACTGAGTACAAGTTGCTGTGCCAAATAAGTTTRACTTGCAGAACAAAGCCAAGGTTTGAATGCCAACAGAACAACAAACTTCTGAGCTATGACCACTGTTCCTCAATATATCGGGGTAACATATTAAAAAGACCCTTTTTCACTACACATTTCACTCAAATTAACTTTATTTGCATAGTTATAAATTGTTTTTCAATCAGCAATTGTTCTTCAATCAACTAATAYCTTCCAGCATTTAGCAGAGGTTTCAATGAAACCATTTTGCTCCAATAATGTTGCTCTTATTTCTAGTGGCTCTATTTTTTGTTCACACTGATGCCATTTCACCATATATATGTAATGGAACTTGCACATGGCAAGTTTCATGTGTGGTGCTTACAAACATCCTAAGTACTTTATAAGCACTAAACCAGAGAAATGGAGAAGTGTAAGCTCCAATAATTGAGTCAATATTACTACATTRAAGTTCAACAAGTACACATTATATATATATATATATATAAAATMTTTATTTTTACTGACTAAAAACCTGTTTTCTACTTAACTTTAAAAGTACATAGCTATATGATWATTTTACTGCATTTAAAATAGGAAAGTAAGGKGTCCATAAAAGTACATTCTTTCTGAAATGCAACTAACATGAAAGGCAATAAAGAAAAGCATTTGGCCAAGTAAAAACAAACTTGTCATGGCCTTGTACAAACAATAAATTCTTCAGAAACGTCTCTCAGAACTTCTCCCTCTATTCTCACTCAGAACTAAAAACAGCTGTACAATTATCTCACAGTTTCAACAATCTAAACCAATTTCCACATTCCTCTGTTTCATGTTTTTGCAAAGTCTTGAACTGTCACAAACTCCAAGAGCTGTATATATTCAAACCACATTCAAATTCAGAATTGGTACCTCAGGGGCAGCTTTTAGCGTTTGTTATTTAGAGAACCCAGTGAGTCAAAGTTYTATATTTAACATGATGATGTAGTTACACACAGCTGGGCAGTAACGTCACAATATTTAGAAATTATCTCCCCACTCCAGGAACCTCTCAGTGATGGGGCTGGGTTCTATCAGAAACTGAACATGTGTCTCAGCCATTTGCTTCAACCCCCTGCTATTTACTCTATTATAATTTCAAAGAAAGGTCTGTTATGCCAAACATGTGCATTTCATGTTCAAATAACAGGTTTAAGACACAGTAACAGAATTTATACACTTTGGAAAAAGTATCCCCCAAAATGTACTATAAACATATCTTTTTGAAGAGAGAYCAAATTGAAGTATGCTAAACCTCAGTGCAAAACAGAATAAGAAAAATAACTTCAAGATGAGACAAAGTTGTTGTAATAGTCAATGCCATATAGAGGTTTTGATATTCCTTCCATAAACTGTTTAAAAAAAGCATAAAAAACCAAAACTGTATCACACTTCTGTCATTCAAATTAACAGTAATACCCTCATATTAACATCATTTGGTGACTAAAAATCATCCCAAGTAAGACCATTTCAGTTGTGCAATACATCAGAGAAACATATTTGGTGTCATTAAAACCATAAGAAAACTTTCACTACATGAACAAAAACTAAGTCTGGCAGTACTTCAGCCACTTTTTTTATACACTCCAATATTTTTATGAGAAATTTTTAAAGATTTTATTCACTTAACATGCAAAGAAAGCAATCTAAAAGCTTGCTATGAAATCTGAACTAAAGAGTTTTAAAAGCAATGGATCTGGGATTTTTTCACTATGTGTTAAAAAAGCTCCAAAAAATAAATAAATAAACAGGAACATTTATAACTTAACAAGAAAATTGCAGTATTTTTTCTATTTTAAGCACAACGAGTTTTGCAATCAGCAGATTTTGCTGTCATTTTTTAAAAAGCAGGTATATCAATAWATCTTATTATCTTCCTAAATTAAGTAACACTTTGTTTCCTCACTTGCCTAATTTWTAAGAATAGAACTTCCAAGGGAGGATTAAAAACACTGTGGCTAAATTTACACCTGAAGAATTAACCAGAATACACAACAGAAAAATTATCTACAACTATGAACACATTTTTCAGACTAAATTGCTCATACATGCTGAAATAAGCAGTTCTTGGAAGGATTTAAATTGTGAGAAATTGCTGAAAAGTTCAGGAGAAGAAGGTGAGGCGGGGGAAAAGAACAAGAATAAAAATAAAAATGCAAAACAGTCACRGTCCCCACCCCGCAACCTATTTCAGGATGAAACTCACAGCACAATTCAAATCTGCTTTGCTCTGCAGAACATTCATTTAGTGAAGGTGAATTCATATTTGCAAATAAAAGCAGTCTTAACAGYGCCACTTCTTGCAAAGTTCTCCGTGTAATTTAGCACATTTCTCTGTTCAAGCCTACTTTAAGTGGGAAAAATAAAAATCTACTCAAAAAAGACAGAAGAAAAATACTGTAACTCTCACCGAAACAAAGTTCTCAGCAGTCTGGACAACAACACAACAAAACACGTATTTTACCCATCTGGAAATTATGATTTATTTTGTRAGGTACCTCGTAGGTAGTCCCATAGTGGCAGGTGTACTGGCATTGCCTGTTGGTCTCTGCATCTTGTTCAACATTCGTGTAGAAAATGACTCCGTCTCCGGAACAAGAAACAATCTGCTTGTCATTGGTRCATGGTAAGAACTTTGCGCTGAAAATATTGGCCCTGTGTCCTGAGCGAATTGTTGTGAGAACCTAAAGAACAAAGGAAAAGGGAGACTGCATCAGGTTTCTGTTTTCCAAGCAAATAAAGAATGGAAAAATAAGAGACTGTGGTACTATGAAATATCAGTTAGGCACAGACTGCCAGTGATCTACAGTTCAATACAACCGAACAGAAAAGCTGCCTTTACACCAAATTTCTTCTAAGAATGAAGTAGTTCTACAAGAGACATTTGCTCAGGCATTTGCACAAAGCAGTCTGCAAAATAAAAGGGCTGGAATGCAGCTGCCACCTTTTGTTTTTGCTATGCTGGTTACACATCACATCAGGTTTCTCAAAGTGAAACATTATTCCAGGGTGATGGTGCAGCCCCCCAGCGTGTCAGTGAGGAAAGACTCAGAAGATTCCTAATGTTTTACTTCAAGAAGAATAAGGCACTGTAATCCAGGCCAGCTTTATAGACTTTAAAAATTGATGTTACTCTTCAAATAAATTACTCTGAAAAGGAGGAGTGAAATTTATAAAGAAGGATGTTTTGAAACAAACCAAAAATAAATAAACGTTTAAGAACTTGATTATAGGGCAATAAACCAAGACTTGACTTATTCATCTCCTTCACTGACAATAAAACAGAGAAGCTTATGATTTATTTCATCATCACAGCTAATTTAAAACACTTTGTGGTGACCCTTTATACTTCCTAACATACTTCTTATTAGTCCACGAAAACTGAAAAAACCTCCACACGCTTTCCTGTGCACTAGTGAACATTAAATTCTTATTTCCCCCATCTGCACCACTTAAACCAAAYTGCATTTTCACCACTTCCATTAGGGAAAAAATACTTACCAAGTTGTGTACAGTATGAAAATTACTTTCAAATTTCCACTCAATTAACTTAATCAAAGAAAGCGTTTGCAAATGAAGTTTCTCTGTCAGTAACAGTTCATGCCTAACATTTCACAAGTGCTATTTTACACCTTTTAAATAATTCTCACCAAAAACATTTAACAGTGTATCTGAATATTCTAAAATGTGCACAATATGGATGGCTGAAGTCTGTTTTTGCTACTCTACCTAGCTCACAATACAAAATATGGTGACAAGGATATTTGCCAAGATGACAGAATTACAGCACAGCTCTGATACCAATTTGCTGCTATTTCCTGTATTGATTCTGTTACTCAAGCCAGAGAAAATAAGCTAACACAATGGTAGCACTCATTAAAAATCACATCTCTAGCACATTTCAGGAACAACACTGTTTATTAAGCCTTCTTGCTAGTACCCAGCAAGTACCGAGTGTTTTATAATTGCATTTGCATGTATCGAGGGAGAAAAAATAAAATCATCTTCTTCTCTGATTTTACGTAAAATAAATAACTCAGCTAACTGTCAAAGCAAAAAGGAAACAAAACACCTCCCATATTCCTCATTAGGTGCAAGCACAGGAGAAGTATACAACAAGGGGGAAAAATCATCCCATGAAAGCATAAAGCTTCAACTGCAGTAACTATTAAAATATTACAATATTTTAGTGGAAAAATGACATTAAGAAGCAACTATCCCACAATGGGATATTAAAAGTAACTAYGCTCAATAAATAATATTAAACATCCTTTATATGCATGAAAATTTCTTACCCTGCAAGTCTCTCCAACAACACTCACTTTGCAATACATCCACCATCCACTTCATAGCTGTCTTGGTTATCTCTTTGTCAGCAGAACTCCCAGTCCAAGAGAAACCCTGGTCTAATGATACTGATCTGAACTTTGTCAGGATGACACCAAGAATTGAAAGGAAGAGATGAAGTTGGGAAGCTATGGCTTATTTGGGGAGGTGAGGAAAAGGGCACAGGGAACACTCCAAACCACTACCATTTTCCCACCATAACTCTTCAGGAAAGCAAAATATTGCCTTCTACTCAAACCCTCTTCCACCATAACAACCCCACACATTTTGTTCCTCCAAACRTATTTAATTTCTGAGCATATCCTCAGGATTTAGTTGTCAACCTCTGAGAGGACACCATATCAGCAGCTCCTTCAAGAGAAAAGCGTGGGACACTGCTACTACCTGACGGATGCCAGCTGGCATTACTGGGTGTCTTTCAGCTGCATTGTAACCCTTTTTYCAGTACAAATTATTCTCAATAGACATGCAGGCACACACGAGGCAATGTAATTTTAAATTGGAGTGACCTATTTTAATAAAGATTGGCACTCCAAAAACATTACACAGAAAGGCAACTCAGTACATTACACAGAGCAAAAGCTAATACAATATCTTAAAACTGAAGTGAGAGGAAAACAGTTTATCTGACTACAAGATTTCACAAGAACTACTGAATCCTATTGCTAGTTCTGACACTAATCTGTGGTGAGACCAYGTTCCCTTTGTGCCTGGCCATGTACCGTAAAATGAGATAATACCAATGTCGYAAAGGATTAGAACTCCAAGGTTTTAAACCACTGTGAAGTTTTATTCCCATTTATAAACACTAGGAAGTGCATTATACTATCTTTGTCACATAATAATTAATAACTGAAAACTAATAAATGGAAAAATATTTTGTTATAAAATATTGAACTAGTATATTGAAAAAAAAACTCATTTTATTATTGCAATATGTTGAAAAATARTAATTTGCATCCTATTGGAAAATTAACAAGCATCCAGAAAGAAACCTACCTTTCTGCTGTAGGGATTACTAATTACCAGGTTGGTGTCATCTGAACCAGATAAAATATATTCTCCTGTATCGTTCCAGCAAATTGTATTCACCTGCATGAATWAAAAAAAGAAATGTTTAGACTTACATTAATTCAATTTTCACTACATTAAAACATCAATACTCATCCAACAATACAGAAAGAGGAGTTAACAAATTCAACTGAAATGATGGAAATTCTAAGCAGCTAGCATAAAAAAAAAAATTGTGTTTTTAAAACAAATTGATAAGGGAATCACCAACTTCACCTATGGCATCTCAATTACTCCTCTGCTCCTCAAGAGTTCATCAGGTAAATTAAGCTTCCCACAGTAGTCACAATTTACACATTCAGGTGCTTTAATGTACCAAATCTACTCCACAGAGTTCTCTGAATTTGAACTGGAGGGCATCACAGTGCTCTCATTATTGTATCTTCACCACATCCAAATTCTGACCATCCATTACATTGCACACTTTCCAGCGACCACACCTCAGGGAAAAGCACTGCAGAATCCATCCCAGATCCCTTTTGAAAAGTGTGAGTATGCTGGGAAAGAAGAATCCTACAATGAGGAATAGAATTGTACTGGGAGAGCTTTACAATACATTTCCTTATCAATTCTCCTTTTCACAAGACTGTGCTTAAAAATGTGTCAGTGAAACAAAACTGTGAAAGCACTCAAAAACCAGGAAGCTCAAAAAGTATCTTCCAAGCAGCAGCTCATGCACAAGCACCAAAGACTGCATGCAAGACCATTTTTATTTCAAGTAGGCTCTAAAATACCTTCAAGTGTCAAACTGCAGCCCATCACCATTTTCTGCTGGCTAGATTCTGTTGGCAGAACAGCTGCCTTAGTGTAATGTACCAGAGTGGACTACAGAATTGGTAAAAAAACCACTTCGTTCTAAATTGATTTCTTATGCTTTTATAAAACTCAAATGTTTCACACTTTGAGCCCCCACCCCCCCCAAAAAAAACCCCAAAATCATTTTTGCTTAAAATAAATACACCCATTCTAGTTACTGTTTTAATTGCAAATTTAGTTGCAAAATTAGAGTTCAGTCTCAGATGGATCACAGGGACAACACCACCTTGATATTCTCAAGTGGAAGAACTTGAGGAGAGATCTTGGTGTTAAACAAACATGACTGCRGCAGGGCTAGCTCAGTTTAAGCAACAGTCAGATATTATTAGTATTCATTAGGAAATGCACAGAAGAGCAGGGTATAGTGCATGGCAATCCCATGTCTTCCACACTAAACAGTTTGGGTTCATATCCCGCTCCCATATTCTCCATTACTGGTCTTTTGGAAAGAGAAATTATGAAAAGGAATTACCGGGGTGCTCACAGGTATCTAGCATTTTTTATTGCAAGAAGCAAATAATTTGTACTGCTCTGGGGAAGAAGTATGATAGAAGCTTATGAGAACATGAATGRCATGGAAAAAGTAAGAAATTATTTTCCATGGATCTTTACAGTACAGGAAATGGAAGACCTTAAATTAAACTATCAGATGAGACATGGCTTTTTGATGAAACTAGTAATCATAGTCATGGAACATTCTAAACACCAGAAGTGGAAGAATATACATACTCATCAAAGAAAAATGAAAAATKATCAGAAACCAAAGATGCAGGTTCCACCTCCATCTGCTCATTAAAGTGTGATRTGCTCTCTAGATCATCCATCAAGTACAGTCTGCTTGCCCTGCCTCAACTTCCTTCAACAATATGTGCTGGCCACTCTCAGGGCCAAGTTATTGGGCTCCAGTGAGCTTTGGTATGAYCTTGCATGGCCACTCTTATGATTTTATAACTCTGGCTGTCAATCACCRAGAACCACACTTTCAGCTAGCCCCCAGAACCATCTATCATTGAAATAACCTGTCCYGACAATGGCTGTACTCTAAAAATGTTGTCAAACATAGCACAGTACACCCCTGCTAGGGCAAACACACAACCCAAGAATGTTTATTTTCATCTACATTTCCTCCCAGGCAGGAAAATATTATTATCATTGCCCTAAAGAAATCAAAATGCTAATGTAAGAATACAGGAATAGAAACAAGAACCTAACACTGAAAAAGCAAGGAAGCAACCGAAAAATTTAAAGTCATGATGAGAGAAAGAAGAGTTAGCACAAAAAATAAACAAACTGAGGGGGTGGATGCGTATATTTAKGTACAAACCAAAATATGTAGGAAAGCAAAGCAGAGAAAACACTGAAGATGCAAACGGGAGACAAGATTATCTAAACTGCAGCATCACAAGTCTACACAAGACATCAATCATTCTCCTCCTAAATTCCAATTTCATTGCAATGATTGCCTCAGTTGAGCAATTTCAATACACCTTACACAGACCAAAGTTGGTTCAAAAAAAAAATCCTGAAGTAAGATGATATACCCAAATATATACTAGAGGTCTGTAAACTAAACAGGCTTTTTATTCTGTACCAAATCACCTTTTCAACACTACTGACAATAAATAACACAAAAACTAACAAAGTCTTTCCATGAAATGAACTCGCAGGGTTTCTTTCCAGACTTTACAATAAGTGATCAGTCAATACACACAGTGTTCAGTACAACCTACTGACCAACACTGAATAACCCAAATAAATTTGCATACGGGTCACTAAAATCAGATGCTCAACAGCGCCAGAATGAAAAAAAAATTAGCCTCATTCCATGGCAGCAAACTTACTATTAAAATACAATGTAAAATAAGGATTGGCTAGAAAACTGGTTTGTATTTCAAATGGTTGGACCCTGGTTTGTGTTTCAGTGTAGAAAAGCTACATACTCTATCACCTGTACTGCCACTCAACACCCAAGTAAAAACACAATTTAACAGTTACTACATTAAGGTTTGGAAATCTTGAGAAAGGGTGTTAGAGCCAAAGGAAAGGATACATCAAACACAAAGGACAGACAATTACTAACAAGGGAAGAAAAGCCAAAGGGTGTGCAATTACCTGTTTTCTATTAAGTACTTCCCATTATTAATTGTATCTAATTTTATTTGCCACTCATCTTGCCTTCCAAGCAAGACGATTCATAAGTCAATTTTTGATTGATAAGTCAATTAGTATTTGATTGATATTTTTGATTCATAAGTCAACTAGTCAGATATAAATTTAATATCTCAGTGTTTTCCTCAAAGACAATGCAGGAGGCAGTGCAGCCAACCCTTAAAAAACTGAAAAATGCAAACTCCTCACTTCTGTGTAAGGTGACAGCAGAAACAACTCTTTTGTGAACAGAAGAGATTAACAGACTACAAGAAACAGAGGAAAACAAATAAAAATGGTTGCAGATGTCCAGAATATCAGGAATATCTCCCAAGCAAGGAAGGGGGTGAAAAAGGCAATGCTATTCATCTGTGGAAGACAAGGTAAAAACTGCAYATTCTAAGAAAACACAAACTCCCTATGCTAATTTAAGCCTGGCTTTGAGGACTACATCTGAAAAGGACTTGCTCCCAAGTGCCATCCTGAAGGAGGTGAATGCCACGAAGGATGCTGGTTTGTTATCGGTCTGAATGTCTATACACAGAAATGAGAAATTACTCCTTCAGATAATCCTCTTTATTTTAAAATGTAGTATTTACTCATGTCAAATGCTCTATCTACATTCTCCACTTCAGTCTTCAAAGGACCAAAATGGAAAGAAAATGACCCATATTTTTACTGCAATTCAATACAGTTTATCATCTACTTTATCCTATAATTTCCCTACACTTCATCGCTGCTGGTCCAGATTGCTTCTCTTTCAACATTTCTCTTTCGGATTTAATGACTTCATGCAGAACAGCTCACCTAACTCTTTTCCTAACATTTCCTCATCTTCTTAAGCTCCCTTTAGAGCTAACACAGAAAATGGCRACTTCTGGCATACAAATGATCTTASTGAATTTGACAATGTGAACRCTGTCGAAAGAAGCAAATCCTGCCCTGGAAGGATCATAAGGCTACAAGAAGAMATCAGTAATTCTGTAGAACCAATTCAATTACTTCACATATTACTGCTAGAAACTGTGACTGCAAACCAAGGGCAAAATGGGACTGTTTCAAAGAGTACAGTCCCTGAGCTCTGAGGTGAAAATACTYATATTTTAAACAGAAAGGTGCTATGATAATTACTGCTACAAGAGTATGATACATTAATTAAYAGAATATTCCCTGCTTCACAGATATACGGCCTGGGTATGATTATACACACAGTTRTATCCTCCACAGGATCTCTCTTTTGTGTAACAGGTAGGAACTTGGACTTTACTTTTATCCTTCATTAGTAAAAAAATTTCTTGCCTTAAGTAAGTTGTCATCCATGTCCAATTTACACAGCAGGCTTTATATAGAAAATATAAGTCACAACTTATTCAACAGCACAATGCAAAAGTTCTTAAAACCACCAATCAAACAGCAACCAAAGGAAACCCCAAAGCCCTGCCATCCAACCCTCATAAAAAACCCCAACCACCCAAAAACCAAACCCAGAAACACCCTTTAACATGGCACTCACTTCCCACACTTGAAATGCATGCTGAGTCAGCAGTTGTGGGAAGGAGGGGGGAGGAGGAGCCTAATTACCATTGATGGTAATAAGCAGTTTAATCACTATGAGCATTGTAATTTGACTGACTTTATTTCACAGATTTTTTTAAAGCAAACAGTAAGAAATTATAATGAATCRTTGTTAGCCATAAAAGATTATTCCTTGCAAAAGACCACACAGTAAATGAGGTAAGAACTCCCAACAGCCCATTCATCAAAGGTGGAGATTCTGAGCAAATGTAACTTCTAGAGACATGTTTTCAAACTAYAGTATTTAAATACTGCATTTAAACACTGTAGTATTTTAAACACCTGCAAATAATGCCGTATGTTTACAATTAAAGCATTTTCCACCCACTAAAACAATTAGGCCATATGTTAAAGCATACTTTAAAAGCTAACACAATCTGATCAAAATTAGTTTTCAAATACATATCCAACAGGCAGATACAAGCAAAACCAACAGCCAACACCAAATCTGCAATTTCTGTTACATGACACAAAGGCAGATAATTGAAAGAGAGATCAGTCCCTTCATTTTTAACAAGTAGTGAACAAATACTGTTTTCCTATCATCTGTTTTAATAGGAAAAAAATTACTATTTTTATAGGAAAATTAAGAAAAAAATTTTAAAAAATTAAAAATTCCAATCAACTTCAGGAAAGAAAAATTGAAATTTTGCATCTTAAGTATTTGAGGAGATGAAAAATTACTAGAGAACAAATTCTGAAGTAAAGTATCACTGTTACAACTTTGAATATAAAAATTAATAAATRCACATAGATTCATAGAAAAGTTTGGGTTGGAAGAGACCTTACATCAACATTCTTGTAACTTTTCTTGAAAAAARGAGAAATTAATGTATTTGTTTCATTACACCAACACCGTCTGTACCAGAACACAAACTTATAATGGTACTCAGTACAGGAAAAGTGCTCGCATTTTATGTACAGCATTTCTAATCCTTGCCTTTCCCAGACTTTCCAGGTTCACAAAAACATAGGCACATCAAAATCATACTTCTGGATCTCAAGAAGACTGGATGTTAACAACACTTGTTCCTTAGAACTACAACTGTGTTTGTTAACAACTGTAACACTCCTTAATCAAAAGCCTGAACAACTCAAGCTAAAATAATCCTTACATTTGAACAGCTTTAGAAAAATACATGGTACAGTATGAAAGCTAAACTTAGATTTTCAGTTTTTTAATAGAATACTCTCATTTTTCAGGTATCCTGTACAATGAAGACTTTAATAACCAYGAATTTCTGCTCTGTTCCTCAAAGGTAACATGGCAGCTACTTTGCCCAGTACCTAGTTTAGGTAAAACCTTTTATTTAAAAGGATATGTCTTACAATATTTGGACTACTTTCAAAAATTAATATTTAAACAAGCAATATTTCAAGTTGTGTTACCGCCTTTCAGGAAGGCTTATTTTTGTTTTCATTGTCTTTTTAAATAAGCATGTAGCACTTGGTGATTTGCTTTATAGACTTGGAAAATAAATCACACAAATGAAGCTTTAAGTCAACACAGTRCAACAACAAAAAGGGACTTCATTTAAAGGTTTAAGATGAAACCTTTAACTGAAAAGGTAAGAATGTGTTTTACTGGCAGGAGAGRTTAATTCAACAGTAGACATGTTATTAAGAAGAGGAAATGGGATTTTGTTTTGCTTCAAAAGTAAAGTGTCAGATATTCAAGAAGAAACAAATAGCTAAAGAATTCAGATGTAGGTCTCAATAAGCAGAGTACTCCTGCTCAGCTTTAATATACAAATATAGCATATTTACATTTTTAAGGTAAGGAACTATTACCATGGCAACAAAATCACAATTAAAACTTTTTAACAAACAAAAAAGCAACAAGTGACTTACACATCCATCATGCACATTCAAGGTTGCTTCAAGTTTTAATCTTTGGATAAATTCTCTTCTCCCTGTGAAGAAAAATACCAATTACATAATTTTTAAAAACTGAAGTAGTCAAGAGCCCGCTAATGACCATTCACAGGTAAAAATGTAAACAGTCAAGAAGCAGAATATAAATGGAAATCTTGAAACAATTCATTTGGTTCTCATTTTACAAATCCTAAGACAAGCATGACATTTGCTGGTTCTTCCAGCACCTTTAATAGGAGTGCAGAAACAGCAAAATGAACATTTCACAGGTTCACAGGCTGATGCTTCCTCTAAAACTAATAGCAAGAAAACAGAAATTAATCCTGTGGTCATTTGGTTCACTAAGCTGAGAGGGAGCAAGTATAACATAGTTCAAGAAGTACAACCCYGACATTTGGAAAAGTAACATTTAAGACCAGTATAATTCCATTCTGTATCTATGATGCGAAAGGAAGAGATGAAGGGAAAAAATGTAATCTATAAATGCAKATTGAGACAAGGCCCCTGGAATTTTGATGTCCTTATATCCTATATACAAACGGCTTTACCACTGCACTCAAAAACACCACTGTACTAAACACATAAAGAGGGAAAAATTAATTATATTAACAAAAAAGTGACCTTTTCCTGAACTAGATATTTAAGCCATGGCTCCAACTTTCATTTCATGTAGAGTGTCCCATTTTTATAAAGCAGGTTATACTGAACTTGATATTCCCCAGAAAGCACTTTCAAAAAAGAAAAATACTAATAAATCTAGTCTTTTTTATTTCAATCCCAAAAAGCTCTTAAACTCAAGGACCACTACCCCTTTTTTGTTCTGTGTTTGTAAATCTCTCAGAACAAATTCCAGGTAAGACCATCAGACTGTAGACCTCTGCCAGGCTCCACTGTTTTCAAATACRTAATTATGAAATTCACTCAATATTAACCTAAAAAACATAGAATCAGGAAAAGAACACCAACAGAATCCACATCTGAAAATCTTACGTTTCTGAACTTACTCTGGTTCAGCTCAAGGCAGAACCATGTCAGAGCCCAGTGTTGCCTCTGGCAGTGTAGCAAAAATTTGGAGTAGTTTCTCCTCTCTTCACTTTGTTTCTGCTTTATTCTTTKGATTTCTCCTATGTACTCTCCAGCCCTGAAAAAGAGCACCTGACATCCACACCTTATCTCACACAATCACCTGTCTGGAAGCTGACACTGCCACACTCTCTCCTAAAAGGYCAGGATGCCCATCCAGCAGCACCAACTCCCACAGCTACACCCRCCGCCCATCCAGTGTTCACACAGCTTTCCCTCCATCAAAAGGTCTGCGTTTGATACTTCCATTTTGCTGCTATTATTCCAAATTCAAAACTGTTTATAACATAGCTTAAATACCCCATTAGATGAAGATCATATTTTGGCAAAATATTTTTTTCTTTTTCAAGAGGACGTACTGACTAAAAATGGTTAGAAAGTGCTTGCACTTAATGCACACCTAAGATAGCTTTAAAAAGATAAAAGCAATACTTCTCTTATGCCCCATTTTATGAACACTGAAGTTGTGACCTCTCAGGTGTTACAATTTCTGTTAAACAGGAATAGCCATAATTAAAGAAAGATTAAATATGCTGCACTAACAAGAATGTATGTATTCTTCACTCAGAATACACATCTACCTAGTTCACTATTCTTTCTTTACCACTGTTCCTTATCCATTTTTTCCCTTAAAGGATCAGACTTTAACCATAGRTTCTTAATGGTTGGTTTACAGTTGTCAGATTAAGATTTTTTGGTCTTAATAAGAACACTATACAAGTTTCAGTAAATGGAGATGCAGATATAAAGTGTCTCATATACTCACCACTTGGCCGTTTAAAACATTAAAAATAAATTTTGTTATGATGGCACATGTTAGCATATGTGATTTGTTAGCATATGTGATTTGTTACATATGTGTTTAATTATTTGTCCTTAGATCACTTTTTATCTAAATATGTGAGGAAGGAATTAAATACAAGCAAAATTACAATACTTCAATAGTTTCTATATTCCCTAAAGGAAAAAGGAAGCAAGGGAGRAAACAGTTAAAATGTTTTCCCTCCAAATCCTCCCTTTATTTGATTAAGTATTAAACACAGTAAGACAATTGAATGGATTGTTTCTATTTTATCTCATCATTCAAAACTAGAACCTCCAGATCCTAAGTGGTGTTTCTACTCAAAAAAAACTGAACTACTTGAATAAACTCATCTGAAGAAAACACGGCCTCTGCTTTTGCTGTTGATAAAGCTGAGTAAAATCAGTGAATTTGTGTTCCTTGTCCTTCAGCAATGACTCCCACAGGCTCACTTAGTTTGTTAAAAAARCTCAGCAGTAAGCATTAGAGGCTTTTGATATTTGTCAGTTGAATATTTTTGCCACCGATCCATTTTTATGATATTAAAGAAAATTTTAAATCAATACCTCTTGGTTTATTTTGTTTTTGTTCTTAGGTGCATCTCAGCTATTAAYGCTAGACTTCCTAACAGTCAGATTAGAGCTCCATGTCAAAGGACTCTGCTCTCWCAGGTGACAGAATGTTCACAATCCTTAATTCCTATTCATCTAATCCAAAGGCTGCCTCTTCCCTTCACCTTCCAATAAAGGCAGGCCCCTCCTGGATCCCCTTTCAGCTAAAATGATGGAGGAATCCCAAGCTTTTAACAAAACTCCACAAYGTACCTTTTTCTTACAACATCAGCATCAAGACTCCTGTCGTGTTTAGACTTGTCCCCCTCCCATATTGAGTACAGGCTCTCATGGAAAAACTATTTATTTTTCCCTTTAACTGTGTASTACTACTAGAAATATAATAAATCTGTGAGGGTGTTCCAATGTATTGTTTCCTATATTCAACAAGGCCTAGGACACCAATCAAGTGATCAAGCTGTGATCTCACTGGACAGTGTGATCTCACTGTTCCCATGGAACACACATGGGATTTGTTTCAAAACTGCTAAGGTGAAATTATCAACAAGAACACGATAAAGTGGAAAAAAAAAAAAACCAAAAAAACAAACCCTGTTAAATTTCAAATGACTGTGACCTCTCTGTGAAGTGTTTACGTACCTGAAATTTGGAAAGCTGTCAGCTCCACCCATCCATTTTCACTAGACATGATGCACCTAGTGAAGCCTCAAGGTTCAGTGCCACTCTCAGTACAACGACCAAAAATATTTTCAGGTTTTATCCATTCATCCATCCATCCATTTTCACCAAACATTATGCACTACTGAATCCTCAAGGTAGAGTGAAACTCTCCGTGCAGTGATCAATAATTTTTTCGTTTATATTAAGCTGCAGACTAGGGGATCATTYCCAAGGCCCTGTTCTATGTATGAAAGAAGCATCACCTTGAGTTGTTCATAACATGAATTTCAATACAGGAACGCAGATGAAAGAGAAGCTGCAGCTGSTTCCTTGTAACTCTATTTCTTCAAAACATCCACAAGGTCAAACCAAAGGCTGCCTTGCAACTCCCACCTGGAGAATTACCCAGTCTGGGAGTCTGGGCACATTGACAGAGCTCTAATCTCACTTCAGGGAGCAACACCAAAATACAACAGCATCCCTTGTATTCCCCACTCACAGCCGTTATGACACCATTTAGGTCACAATCCTCGGTGYAGGAATTGCTGATCAGGTGCTTTCTACGTGCCTATTTTGGCAGAGAGATGCATACCTTCCTTTTGTAAGCAACTTAGTCAAAGCTGCTTCAGAACAGATGACAGCAGACAAGTTAAATGCTTGGAGAATGCAAAACCTTCATATATTTAAAACTGTGCTCCAGAATTTCCCACTGAAGTACAGATCGTTTCATGATGAAGGTTTAGCTTTAAAGCACACTTGTGCTCCACAGAAATACAACTAAACTTTGATCTAAAGCAGCACCAACATGGTATCAGACGTTAAGAGAAACCCTTATTCAGTAATAGACCCCATTTATCAAATGAACACTCATTTATATCAAGCTGGTTCTTTGCAAGGCCAAGTCCCTCAGCGCTGGCTCGCTGTGACATTTGGAATGCCCTAGTTTAAAGCTGAAATGGAGCCAGCATCTGTTCCCAATGCAGAGCACATGTTATCCTGCACTCTGAGTGCATTTCAAAACTTCTCTTGGTTTTCCAGGGTAGAGTTTAGGGATTTCTGAAGTAACTCCATTTATATATAGCTCATTTTGCTGGATTGACCACATCAATCCACACTGATTGGCCACACTGACCGCATCATGATCCAGTATAACTTCTGATCCACATCTCAACACACTGTTTCCAGCAACCAGAATTCTCCATACACCAGATAGTAAACAGGACTGTACACAATATGCACTAAATTAGCTTTTGTCAAGATAAGTTAAAATTCTTGAAGATCCATTAAAACCTAAAACATCACTTGTTARCTATGCAGGCTGATACTGGCTCCATTTTATAGTCATCAAAACTTTGACACAGGAAACTCAATAAATTTATCAAAGGAAAGAGTGAACCATCAGTACTGCCAGAAACCAAACCCACTAGTGTGACCTACAGTCCTTTGAGAAAYACCTTGTTGTATTTCTTCACTCTTCTGCACTACTGCAAAAATGCCAAAAATTCTAACTCTTCATTCTTTCAGTCCTTAAAAGACTACCTTTCAAGACAATATGATCAACAACTTCACAGTGATTTAAGTTCAAAATAGGTAACTCAAATTATTCTTTATTCTTAATGATATACTACAAAGCTTGAAAGTGTAAACATTGTAAAGAAAACACGAAATATTTTACTGTGTATGAAGAGACTTACTTGCCACTTGAATATGTAAGAGCTTTGCTATTGAACACCCAGCATTAAACAATCTGGTGCTAATCAAGCCTGTACTCAAATCCTAAGACAAGTTTAAGTAATGAGCTTTATGTGTTAAGAAACACAAAACTTTCAGATCTTATAACACCAAGACAGAAACTACAGAAGACAGGACACTATGCCCCCAAATTCAAATCAGGGAGCCTGTAATATATGGTGAGTAAATT